GCAATCCCTTCTCCTCCATTCTCCTCTCAGGATCTTGGGCACGCACGCACAGGCGCCCAGCGTGAGTTTAAGCTGCTGGGTCTGGGACTCGAACCGTGGTCAACTACGTGGGAGTCCAGAGACATAGCCATTACGCTAACTGCTGGTCCCACCTCTTAAATATTTTTTGACAGAGGGTGTGTGTGCTTGCAGTGGTGGTACATGTGGGGGATAAGAAATCATCTTCCTGGGCCACCAGGTGGCATGGTGGTTAAAGCACTGGAATGCCACATGGCTGACTGCAGTTTGAGTCCCAGAGTGGGCGGCTTGAAAATCACGTGAGTAGCACGTGTGTGTGTGTGTGTGTGTGTGTGTGTGTGTGCTCAAAGTCCTGAAGGGAGAATGGAGGAGGGCTTGCAGCATGGTCAACTGCCCTGCGGTTGACCACCCTGACTTTCTCTTTTTTTTTAGACAGATTTTTGCTCTATGGTGCAAGCACCTGCCAGAGAGACAGTGATAGATAGCAAATTAAAAAATAATACGAGACCAGCAGGTGGTACGGTGGTTAAGGCACCGAACTCTCATGTGATCGTTGGTTCTGGTATCGGACCTGGAAGCTTGCTTTCTCACTTTCTTTCTCTCTCTCTCTGGTGACTATATATGCCCTATAGCAAGTTATTTAAAATAATAGTAAAATAAATAATTCTTAAAAATAGGGGCCGGCAGGTGGCATGGTGGCTAAGGGTACTGGACTCCCAGATGGCCAGCTGCAGTTTGAGTCCAGGACCTGGCAGCTTGCTTTCTCATTTTCCCTCTATCTCTCACTCTGCCCCTCGCTGGTCGAATAAATAAATAAGGACCAGCAGTTGGCATAATGGCTATGTCACTGGACTCCCATGTAGTCGACAGCGGTCTCAGTCCTGGACCCGGTGGCTTAAACTCACGGTGTGTGCATGCCCAAGATCCCGAGAATGGAGGAGAAGGGATTGTGGCGCGGCCATCCACCCTGGGGGGTGATATCTCGCTTTCTGTCTCTCTGTCTCTGTCTTTCTGGTGAGCACTCATACCCTATAGTAAAGACTTCTTCAAAAAAATAAAATAAAATAAAATAAAAAATTCTTTTTTTTTTTTTTTTTTTAGAAGTTTTTGCTATAGGGCACGTGCGCTCGCCAGACAGACAGAGAGAGACAGGGAGACAGAAAGCGAGAAATCATCCCCCAGGGGTGATGGCCACGCCGCAATCCCTTCTCCTCCGTTCTCTTGGGATCTTGGGCACGCATGCACATGTGCCCGGCGTGAGTTTTAAGCCACTGGGTCCGGGACACGAACTGCAGTCGAATACATGGGAGTCCAGCAACATAGCCATTACTCTAACTGCTGGTCCCAAATAAATAATTCTTTTTTTTTTTTCTTCAGTTTTATTTAGTCACTCCCCCAAATAAATAATTCTTAAAAAATAACTTTTTTTTTTTTTGGAGAGGTTTTTGCTATAGGGCGTGTGCACTCACCAGAAAGACAGTAACAAATGGAATTAAATAATAAATAAATAAATAAATATTCAAAAAAAAATGGCAAGGAGGTGAAGGCAGGGCTGGATGTGGCGCAGCAAGAAAACATGACTCTCAGCAAAGCTGACTGACCCACAGAGAGAGGTTACGGGTGGGCAGCGGGAGACCGCCCTGTGTACACCGGGCATGTGTACCCGGGGACTGGGTCTGGCTGAAGGCTGGGGGTGGAGGGGGGCATCAAGACCCTGTTGGGGGTGCTGTCTCTCTATGTCTCTCTTGTTCTGTCCTTGCTTGTGGAAGAAATAAATAAAAATTTAAAAGGTTGGGGCCGGCAGGTGGCATGATGGTTGAGGGCACTGGACTCCCACATGACTGAGTTCGAATCCCGGACCTGGTGGCTTAGTTTTTCACTTTCCCTCTCTCTCTCTCACTCTGTCCCTCTCTGGCAAATTAAAATAAATAAATGAATGAATAAAGTTAAATAAAATAATTATTTTTAAAATTAAAAAACAATTTTTTAAAAGTAGAAGTGTGGGCCAGCAGGCGGCACCGTGGTTGGGATGCTGGCCTTCTAATGGCCAACCACGGTTTGAGTCCCGGGCCTGGTGGCTT